GCTAGAGAACCCAGGGGACTAGGTGGCAGCTGTGGGCTCTGGGTCACGAGGGCCTTGGCTGCAGCTTAGTCACCACACAGCGAGGCTCCGGAAACGGCATGTCCTTGTTGGTGGAAGGAGCAGGTGCTGGAGGGGCCCGAGGGCTTTGGGAGCAGGTGGTCATGGGAAAAGGCACAGGTGACTGAAAACCCTTCCCAAGTCTCCCTGCCTGGCCTCCTGTCATCAATTCAGTCAGTGTGACAGGCAGACACCTGGGACAGATTTGTGGAATACCAGTTATGTACATGCTGGGGTACAGCCATTTGGGTCTGTTTTTAAGAAGATAAGATCTGCTAATTTTACACAATTGATATTACCCACTTTCCTATGTCTCCTTTGAATACTTCTGTTCCCACTCCTTGGGCATGTTTCGGGGAACATTCTAAACAAGGTGGTGTCATGTGGGATGAACCGAGAACAATCAGGAATATTTTGGATTGTGAGTGTACAGGGTCTTTTGTAATTTCAGAGCAGATATGATACCGTGAGAGGTGACTGTGTGAGACCTAAATCTAACTGACTCTATCTTAGAAAAAGCCTCCATCTTGAGAGGGAACTAGGCCTGAGCCCAGTCCCAGGAAAAACCGCAGGAAGTAAGTAGGCATCCTGCCCTTAGTTACTTCCCTAGCAACAGCAACAGCCAATCAGTTTAAAAGAGGTGCCTATGTCCCAAGACGTTCCGGTTGGCAGTTTATGGTCAGGCCAGATGGGCCGAACCAATCGGGTACTGACAAGACAGCCTGTACCTATCAGGAGGCTGCCAAGCTGGATTCTGCTGGATACACCCTGAATTCTGCTGTAATCACAATAAAAAGCCCTGGGATCTCGAGTTCGGGGCTCCATACCATCACTGCTGCGCCGGGGTGCGTTGGAGTCCCTGCTGGAGCTTGCGCAAAGACTCTCGTGTGTTTGCATCGGAATCGGCTACTTGGTGGTCTTTGGGGTCTCGCGATCTGGGCATAACAACTGCTGTGTGACTTTTTAAAATTATCTACTCATTTAATGCTATAAATTCAGTGTGACAAAGTCACTCCTTCTTGCAAACCACCAATTTTGGGTTTTTTTCTTGATAATTTTTACTTTTTTTATTTTTTAGAGAGAGAGCACACCCAAGCAGGGAGAGGGGCAGAGAAAGAGAGTAAGAGAATCTTAAGTAAGCTCCGTGCCCAGCTCAGAGCCCAAGGCAAGGCTTGATCCTCTGATTATGGGATCATGATCTACACCAAAATCACAAGTTAGAACCAATGAGTCAACAGGCACCCCACACCCCACCAATTTGACATACTGTTTCCTTTCACTTTAAAGCAATTAATTTCTTTTTTCCTATCTTGTTAGATCCATGTTTCACTTACTGAGCATATTTTCTAGTGAGGGCAGTTATTAGGAAAGATGATCAACTTCAGTCACAAGTGCCTTAGGACTCCGGAATCCACTCCAGGGACATGCCATGGGGGAAGGTCATTCTGCTGTATGGCTTGGCCTCAGTATTCAGGCAAATAGAAAGTCTCTCCTTAAACCAAAAGGAAGTTCCATTTGGGCGGGTCAGGGAACAGGCTCTGGGTGTCTCTAGTAGTGGCCCAAATAGCATGGCTTCGGAATATTTGAGCTGACAACGTCAGCTTAACATATATGAGTATCAACATATATGAGTATCACATTCTCCATTCACAAACTCCGATTCTAAAAAACCAGATTCAGGCAGCAACACCCAGCCTGTCTTCTGACCCACATCACACAGTGGCTTCCCACTTTATTGAACACAAGCTAACATCTGACAACAGAGACAATCCACAATAAAATCCACTGTGTAAGTGTGTCCTCATTCAGTTGATGATGGTCAAGTACAGAGAGACTCACAGAACTGCTCTGTTCTCCACGTGTATGCCTGGCACCCCTTTCCTTAGCATTTGTGTGGACTCGTGGGCACTGTCATTGACCAAGCACAGCATGGTTTGTTATCAGGCTGGAGACAGAGATTCTTTTTTAGAATCAGAAATATTATGTATATATTTCTGTATATATGTAGATAAGGCAATTTCACAGCCTTTTTGTAACCAAGAAAAAAATTCTTATAAGAGTTAACATTCTCAAAAATAGTAAGTTGAAAAGATATTATGCACCCCTATGTTTGTTGCTGCATCATTTACAACAGCCACGATATAAAAGCAACCTAAGTGTCTATCCATGGATGAATGGATGAGGAAGACGTAGTATATATAGACGAAATATTACTCAGCCATAAAAAAGAAAACAATCTAGACATATGGAAGGCATGGATGAACTTAGAATGTTTTGAGCTAAGAGAAGTAAGTCAGACAAAGAAAACTACCATATGATTTCACTTGTGTGGGATTTCGAAAAAAGAAGATCCATGGACAAACCAGAAAGATTTGCTTAGAACTTAGAGTCCCATGAAAAATGCTGCTTCCTTGAGAGGTCGGGAAAAGTTGAGAAAGCATAGGAGTTTCACTGCTTTAGGGAAACCCCCAGACTTCTGGGACATGAGCATCAGAGCCACACTGTTGCTGTCCAGGGCAACACCCACACACCCAGCACTCACCCCTGCATGCACACAGTTCTGAGGGTCACAAGCCAAACGCAGACTGCATTCCTGCTAAGGTCCAGGGCATAGACATAGGGTTCCAGATTCTGAAGAAGACGAAGGCCCGAGTCTGGCTTGGGTGGATGCCTTGTACAGAAGGGAGAGTAGTAGAGGGCAGAGGGTCTCCCAAGGATGAGTTCCCTACCTACGTGGACGGCACCACCTCTGTCCTCAGAGCAGTGGGATTTGTGATCTGAGGTCAAAGCCCAGGTCCTGCTCCCCTGTTTGCTGTGCTCATTCCTCCACCCACACTGCTGGGACCAATTCAGTGTTGTGTTTTCTTAATCCTTACAAAGCATGAGGCAACTTCAGGGCCTCCAGGAAAGATGTCCAGCAAGTAAAGGAAAGTGGCAAATGGAAAGTAGATTTCTCCTCATTGGAATTCCTCATCCAACCTGATTTCACCAGGCAACACCGTGGTTCTGTGGGCCCATTGCCAATAGGTAGAGAGAAATGGAACCACGGGCTTCAGTTTTCTTCTCAACTGGGCTGTTCCAAACACCATCTGGCTGCATCTAGGTGACAGGTGAGGCCAGAGAACACGGGGATTAAATTCTGTGACCACAAGGAGAGAAATTCTTCCCTCACGCTGAGCCCACAGCTTCTTCTGACCTGACCACCTGGAGATGGGTTGTTCTCGTGCAAAGAAGAAGAATCAGTCATGGGTTTCAATCACAGGTCCCAAGAATCTACTCAACAGACCTTAAGTGGGGACACTCCCCCTGCTGAATGGCTGGTCTCATGCAGGAAAACTTCATTTCATCAGGGACACCTGATGTCAGTCACGACACAGGCTTCTGTGTGTCTCTCCTCTTGACCAGAACAAAATGGGTTTGAGCTATTTGGGTGGATAAAATGTTATGTTATCAGGGTTTTCTTGTTTTTTTTGTTTTGTGTTTTTCAGTTCAGTATGATTTGGTTTCCATTTCCTGAGATCTAATCAAACCACAAACTCTATTCTCTCAGAGTTTCCAGGATTTTATTTACAGGACTGTGACTCTCTTTGTGGGGTCACTTGAAGCTGACACAATTTTCAGAAAGGATTCAATATGATATACGTCAGGTTGACGCAGGAAGGATCATCAGGTCATGTCCCTATTTTCATGAAGGATGGTTGGTAAACTGATTCCTCCAGCAGCTCTTACCCGGGCCCGATTCCACAGTGACTGTTGTTAAGTGAAGACTTAAGAAGATGTCAGTCATAGACGCAGGTTACACCCCGACATTAAAATGTTGTCCAAGGTTTCACTTTTCTCACATACAGAGTCTGTTTTTTAACTCATTGACTCATGGTTGTTGCTGCCTCACATAAACCAGTGCGAGACTCAGCTTCTTCCATGGTGCTAACAGGATCCCAGACCTCTGACACACGCTGGTTGTACAGGATGAGAAAGCTTCCATACAGGAAGGGATTCTCTAAGCATCCAAAAGAAAATGGTAATGAATAAAATGAAACATTACAAAATGACACATGGTTCATTCTGTCCAATATGCTTAGAAATTGCTTCCCTTAAGAAATCCATTTGACTTGGGGGAGGTGTGTTTGTGTAGTATCCATATCTCACATATACCATATGGTGTGTGTTATCTGTCTAGTATTTATCTGTCTGCCTATCTATCTATCTATCTATCTATCTATCCATCTTTCTATCTAAAGGAAGAGAAGAATGACAGGATACACACCACATTGTAACAAATGGTTACCACAAATTGCACACTCACTGCCTGGAGGAAAAAAATTCTTCCCTTTTCCTAGTCTCCTAAGCAGGGCTATTAGTTCTCTGCCTGTGATGAGTGATTCTTTTCTCCCTGCTTTTTACTTTCATCTTCTCCAAAGGTGCCAGGGTGAGTAGAATTCATTATTTACCCATTATTAAATTGTCTTAAACTATTAACCTGGAAACAACAGACACCAGGGGCTCTAGAACTCTCTCGAGTTCATCCTGTGGTTTGAAGATACTCTGCCAATCAGCCGGAGCGGGGCAGCTATGTTTCCTCCTGGACAGTAGCTAAGAGGAATCCAAGCAGGATGGGAGTACACCTGCCAGAAAGTGACACAGGACACTCAAGTCCACACCCTCAGGGTCTCTGGAGCTTTCTCAGAAGGGCAGGGCTGTGAGCACTGTGTCTTCCCAGACACTCAGATCCTTCTTCCCACTCAGCAGTAAGGAATTTGTCTCTGGTAGTTTCCCTCCAAGCACAGAAGACATGGGAAGGTACTTTGCTCACAGGAGAGGTCCCTGTGGCCCTGCCTTTGGCTCTTTCCCCTCTGCCACACCCACCAGGGGATTTGCATGTGGTCCCCTGGGAGGCCCTGCCCTGTGACATAAAGCTCAGCTCTGTGCTTCTTTTTACCTGTGAGGACCCATCAGTCCCGCTTCTCACAATGAGGTTCCCTGCTCAGCTGCTGGGGCTGCTGGTGCTCTGGATCCCAGGTGAGGGCGGAGGGGGTGAGAGAGGAGCACGGGGTGTGGGGGGAGAGCTCTGGGGCCGCCCCTGCTCCCCATGTGTATTTGGTCCATGGGTGGGACTGCCCTCCACCAAGGGGAAATTAATCTGGGGGCCTGGGAAATCAAGAAGAAAAGGAAAGGAACAAGGAACAGTGCTTTTGTGAGATGCTGGAAAAGAAAGAAGTTGCTTCGTGCCTGTAATTTTGGGTTGCCTTTGGAAATTGAATATAATTAGAATATGAATCCAATCACAAAAAATGATTTTGCCTAAAACACAAAAAGAACCTTAAATTCAGAAAAAGTAGCATCACATTGTGTTTCTCTCATTACTTTAGGATCCAGAGGGGATGTGGTGCTGACGCAGACCCCACTCTCTCTGACCGTCACACTTGGACAGCCGGCCTCCATCTCCTGCAGGGCCAGTCAGAGCCTCCTGCACAGTGATGGATACACCTATTTATATTGGTACCTACAGAAGCCAGGCCAGCCTCCACGGCTCCTCATCTATGAGGTTTCCAATCGTTTCACTGGGGTCCCTGACAGGTTCAGTGGCAGCGGGTCAGAGACAGATTTCACCCTGCCAATCAGCAGGGTGGAGGCTGAGGACATTGGGATTTATTACTGCATGCAAGCTACACATACTCCTCCCACAGTGATTCAGCCCCTAACACAAACCTCTCCGTGTGGTGTGGCACCAGCCTCCACATGTGTTGCTTGAGTGAGGAGCAGGCACAGCAGAGCCTCTGTTGCCCTAAGAGGCAGATGCTGAGAAGTCAGGGCATCACGTGCAGCTGAGGGCTCTGGACCGTGTAGTGGCCCCTCATTTGCACCAGCCCAGCGCGGCAGCACCCGCCCCGGAACGGAGGTGATTGACATGTACTCTGAGCAGTACGATGGAAGGGAGAGTGGACCTGCTCCCCATCCACACCCTCTCCGCCTGTGTGCATGGGTCAAGGGCATCGAGTCAGCTGAAGAGTCAGCAAACGGAGGCATATTTGTGACAACACAAGTTGAATACATTTGAAGCTAACAAATGGTATTTTTCATTTGTATGGTATTTTTCAGTACCATAATATTGGTATCGTGCACATATCATTTCTCATTTTTGAACATTCTCAACTTCTTCATTACCAGTTACACGAATCCCATTATATAATGTTCTCCAGACAACACTCCATGCACACTATTCCCACAGTAAACATTGCAGAGAACACTTCGTCAGAGCGTTTGGTGTTCGAGGACCCAAACACGCTGTTGTAACTTCATAACACAGATGAGCTTCTGCTCCTGTAAAGAAGATGCGGTCATTACACACAATGGATGTCACGCACCATAGAAGAGAATGAAGTACTGCATTTGCGACAATGTAGATGACCCATGACGGTATTATGGTAGGTGACCTACGTCAGGCGGAGAAAGACAAATACCGTATGATTAGGATTTCATTCATATATGGAATCTAAAAAGCAAAACAAAGGAGAGACATCAAAAGACATATAAACAGACACATGAATACAGAGATCAAACTGGTGGTTGCCACACAGAAAGCAGGCAAAGAGGATGGAAAAAACGGCTGAAAATGTATGAGAGTCATAGCCTTCTGGTAACAGAACAAGTAAGTCACTGTGATGAAAGCGCAGGGAACACTGTCAGTGCTCTTGTCATTGTGTCCATGGGGGCAGACGACAGCTACACCTGTGAGCACAGCATATGGAATGGGCTTGTCTGATGTCTATGTCCTACACCTGACACAAATGCAATGTTGTGTATCTCCATACTTCAATACAACAACAACAACAACACACACACACAAGCACAAATATGCACACGTGCACACATAGAACCTATCCAGGAAGATTTTGTCTCAATGACCTTTTTCTGAGACAAAAAGAGAGTTCTCAGAATTCAAAACGAGGTTTTGAGAAAACAAAACGAGCTGAATATTGTAGAGCATAGAATGTATCTCATAGATCACAGGAAGTATAAGAATGATATGAAGTTTGTTTCCAAAAAGGGATTATTTAAAGATCACCTACACTACTTTGGAGATGACAAATTTGGTAGTATGGTCAAAAACTATTTCACGCAATAGGTAAATACGTTAATTTTACAGAACAAGGTCTTACCTAAAAATGAACTTCTATTGTATGTTCCATTGAAAATGTAAATAAATTACATGCTTTGGGTAGATCTCAATAAAAGTGGTGCTCAAACATTACATCTGACTTAACTTGGGCTCATGTCAATTACCTGTCATAACAGAGTGCATTAGAAGTAAAAGTATGATTTAGGGGTCCCTCGGTGGCTCAGTCGGTTAAGCGTCCAACTTCAGATCAGGTGATAGTCTCATGGTTGGTGAGTCTGAGCCCCGGATCAAGCTCAGTGGTGATAATGTAGAGCCTGCTTGGGATTCTCTCTCAACCTCTCACTCTACGCCCTTTCTCTGCTTCTGCTCTCTCTGCCTCTCTGCCTCTCTTTCAAAATAAATAAATAAACTTAAAAGAAAGTTAAAAAAAAACAAACAACGACAAGGCGTCAGTGTATTTCCACCCACACAGTGGACACACACGTCCATCCTAAATTGTCCACATCCATCCCACGGTCACTGGTGTGGAGTTGGGGGAAGCTGCCCATGTCTAGGAGCAGGACACCGGGAGACCCTGCAGTGTCACAGCCCCAAGCACAAACCTCCCCAGGAGGCTCAGCCTCTCAGGGCGACAGCAGCAGCAGTAATGACAGAAGACCACAAAGATGTGATGGCCATTCACCCCCTTCCACCCTCCTCCAGTGATGGTCCCCGGGCATGCGCGCGCGTGCGCACACACACGTCTCCCTGCACCCACGCTATGAGCACAGGCGCAGTGAGCACTGAGTCCCTACATGACCCACACTGTCACGTGGGATCATGTTCTCGCTCCTGCAGATTGTGTGGACTTGACTTTACAGATTTTCTCCCAAACACAGAAGACTTATATTGCACTTTGCTCAAAGGTAGGCCCCTCCCACAACCTTCCAGCCCTTTCCTTACTGCTGCACCCACCAGGGGATTTGCATAGTGTCCCCCAGGGAGGACCTTCCCCATAAAGTCTGGATTCAAGGCCAGCTTGAATCTGGCTTTGACTTGTCGGGACTCCTCTGGTCAACTCCTCAAAATAAGGTTCCCTGCTCAGCTCCTGGGGTGCTAGTGATTTGGTTCTCTGGTAAGGACAGAGGAGGTGGGAAAGGAGAGCCAAGGGGAGAGGGTGGGCTCAGGGGGCACCACTGTCCCCAGGTGTATTCTGTGTGCGTGTCAGACATGTGTGACTCATCCTCTGGGATGAGGCAGGTAAGGTTTAGATCTGTGAGAGTGTGGAAGTTTCCAGAAGGAACAAGGGCCTGGGTACTAGTGAAAGACTGTGACACAGAAGGTGGGGAGACAGTCAGCGATGATTAGAGACCTCTCTCCACTTCGCAGATGTCAGGTTCCTTATTGTGATTGTGCATTTTCGGTGCCTGCTGGAAGTCATAAGTAATGGGAGAAACACAAAGTCGTATTTTAGCTAAATAAATGAGATGGAAACAATGAAACTTGCTAAAAATATTTGTATCTAACTTGGCACTTCTCTGTCCTTTCTTTAGGATCCAGTAGGGACATTGTGCTGACCCAGACCCCTCTGTCCCTGCCCATCACCCCTGGACAGCCGGCCTCCATCTCCTGCAGAGCCAGTCAGAGCATCCTGCACAGTAACGGAAACACCTATCTGAATTGGACCTCAGTATCCTCACTAGCCCAGGGACAGGTCTCTCTGCACTCGGGGGCTGGACCTGCTGCAGCACCCTCCTCTGCTCTGGGCCATACTCAAAACCGCCTGACTTTATGTCACCAAGCCCAAGGGCCAGACCAGTCCTCCTAGAGGTGGATGGGCTTGTCCCAGCATCGGACACCAAAGGTGATTCCTTCTGAGAGGCAAAGACAGATGATGAACACAATGGAAGTGAAGGTGCCCCCAATACCGGTCATGGGGTCCCCACGGGGGGAATCTCTCACCAATGGGGAAAAATATTTTATGGAAATAATCAGCCTAAAATTTTACTGAGGGCTGCTGGAATGCTAGACCATAAAAGAGTTGCTCTGTGGGTTGAGGTTGATCCCCACTCACTAGAGTAAGAATAGGTAATGTGGGGGGAAATGTGCCCGAGGCAGTTTCTCATCAATTTTTACAGCTTGTAGTTTTCTATGAAATCTCGTAATTCCATCATGTGACTGCTCCAGAGGACTCAGAACTCATTCATTCTATTTTTATGTTATTTTGTATTTTATTTCTTTTATTTCTTATCCTCATTCTGTGCAAGGCCGAGTAGGTGCTTTAGAAAAATCAACGTGCAGATTTCTGGAAGCACTACTAAGTGAAGGCAGGCGAAGCTTCAAGCAGCACTTGGACCTTGGGTGCCCCTGGGCTCCTGCTACAAAAGGCCAAATGGATGTAAAGGTCACTGGTGCGCAGCTGTGGCTCCCATAGGTCACACTGTCACCCTCTTCATTTACTGATCCAGACAGAACCTGTATGTCCCTTATAGGGCACGGAGTGGCCACTGAATACTCCATTCAGCTCTTGCCTCTTTTTTGGTCTGAAGTTTGATTTGTGTTAAGAACTGAATAAAAGGAGGGGGTCAAAAGGAATTTCAGGTAATTCTAAAAAATCACTTTAAGTGATTTAATCTGATCTTGCTTATTCCAGATCATCTAATATTCACTTCTTCAAAATTTGTATAAGCATTTTGTAGATTCTTCAAAGAGCTGATATGGAAGAAAGAGTGAATATGAGATTCACAGCTTATAGTCTCCATTTTTCTGCAAATAGATTACTTTTCTAAATAAAAAAAATCCAAAGAAAATTATTCGTTTCCTGGAATACTAAATTCAATCCCTCTCTTTCAAGTCTCAAATTCTTTGTTCAACAGAGCTTCAACTTAAGTTGAAAAGGCTAGAATCCCTGTCTCAAGCA